AAGAAAACCTAACACCTCAGATGCGAATTAGTATACAATTACACCAGGGTTAGTACATATCTTTCTTGAAGATAAATTGTATCTCAGATACCCGAGACTNCAGCCAAACCGATTTACGAATTTTAGAGTCTCTTTACATCCATAAACTTAAACCTAAATTGAATAACCAATCCAGCTCTTTTCCTTTTTCGATTCTAGGTCAATAGTTGTTTTTTTTCTTCTTTCCTTATCATTTTCTAAATTTATTTACTAAAATTGATTTCCATGTTTTTCCAGATGTATTTTACTAGCTGATGATGGGCATAGCCCGAAACGTTCTGTTTTGTTTATCTAGGACTTTTATTCAGTAAAATGTTTTATGCAACTTATTTAGTTTTAGCCTTTATTCTTAAACTGAGAAGAACTCCTCGAGATATTTGACATATGAAAACATTTCAGTGTACTGAATTGGAATATTTTTCAGTATAATAAAGAGAACCTAACACCTCAGATGCGAATTAGTATAGAATTACACCAGAGTTAGTACATATCTTTCTTGAAGATAAATTGTATCTCAGATACCCGAGACTCTGGCACTGCAGTGAGTGGTTCTTTATTGGCTGTCTGCAACGCGAGAATGCGTTCCGGTTACTCACTTCAACAGGATTACTTGACAATCCTCAACAGGAAACCGGAATACTAGGTATTTGCAGGGATAAATTCTGCAGTCCTTGAGTATATATTGAATTCAAGAAAAACACGAATTTTGATACGCTGTTCCCCAAAGAATGTTTTTTCGATGCTGCCATCTTGGAACCAAAAACTATCTAGAACGATTTCCTTGTTGAAAATCTAGTATTCAAATATGTATATCAAATGATGAATTTCTTCTCAACAGCAGATTTTTACAATTTATTACAATAGCATGTAAAATATAGAATCCTGTAATGACTGTCACATGTAAATTTTTTTCGTTCCGAATGAACCTTGATCAAATTTCGAAACGAAAAAGCACACATAAAGATCAATAAATTCCCTAAGGGTATGCAGATCAAAGCTAGAGTAATGGGAGCCAAAAGCTGCTCGGCAGTTCTATAAGAAGTTGCCTAAGTGAACTCAGGCCAGGCTGATAGTCCCACAAATTGCCGCTCAGCTCGCAAAGATGGAATTGCAACGAGAGCAATTAGAGGACTTCTGAACTTGCTGCGAACTGGTAGAGCGAGTGATATGGGGGGGGGGAGGTGTAGCAGTAGTGGTGGTAGCGATGAGTGGCAGCGGTGGTGGTAGCATTGGTGTAGCAATAGTGGTAGAGGTGGTAGCGTTGGTACAGCAGTGGTGGTGGGTGGTGTAGCGCTGGAGCAGCGGTAATGGTGAGTGGTGTAGCGAGGCGTTAGAAGTGGCGTTAGCAAGAGGCGTTAGAAGTGGTGAAATGTGGCTCAGCATATCGGTGGCGGGTGGTTGAGCAAAGTGGCGGGTGGTACCAAGGTGGTGGGATGGCGGTGGTGGTGAATGGTATATATGTTTATGACTGCGATGGCATAACGGTGGTGACTGATGGCGTTGCGGTGCAATTGGCTTTACGTTGATGTTGAATATGTAGGTGCAGATTGGATTAATACCTTTGAATTATTAATTAATTCATTAAAATTATTTCTTTAATTTTTTTTTAATTTGTAATCAATAAATTAACGTATCAATGAAGCCCTCTTCATCTATTGGTCGAATTTGCAAGAAAAAAAATGAAAAACTTCATAACTTTCGTTCATATCAGCATTCAATTGACCTCCGAACTTATGGCTTATCTCTTTTCTAACTAAATATATTTCTGTGCAGGATTCAAATCGCCAAGGCAAGTTTCCCCCACTTGTTAGCTTCACCTCAATCCATCTCGAATTAGTCGCTCGCTTCAAGTAAAAAAAATTTGTGATATTAAATGTAGGTAAGTGAAATATAAAATTCAAGAAAATGAAATGTTCGTCATAAAATTGTGAAATTCGTTGAAATGAAATGTTCGTAGGTAAAATTTGAAATTCCATAACATGAAATCTATGAAGGCAAAATGTAAATTTCGGTATAATTCCCTCAATTGAAAATTTAAGGGAATTGACATTAACGCTTTCCACTGGAACAATTTTTTTTCTAGTTGAGGCAAAATGTGTATATTTTTATTCTGTAGATCAAGAGTTTGCCATTCGAATAATTCATATGAATGTTCCATAAATTCCCGCATAATGTCCTTATAGGATACCACAACTTGAATAGGATCTATAGGATACCACAGCTTAAATAGAATCTATAGGATACCACGGCTTAAATAAGATTTATAGAATGCCAAGGCTTTAATAGTATCTATAGGATACCTCGGGTTAGACGAGACGTATTTAATTTTTACATAATCCTTATGAGATCAACAGGAAAAAGTACATATCTGTCATCCACAGAATGACCTTCACCATGCACGGCATGACCTTCACCATGCACGGCATGACCTTCACCATGCACGGCATGACCTTCACCATGCACGGCATGACCTTCACCCTGCACGGCATGACCTTCACCATGCACGGCATGACCTTCACCATGCACGGCATGACCTTCACCATGCACGGCATGACCTTCAGCCTGCACAGCATGACCTTCACCTTGCACGGCATGACCTTCACCATGCACGGCATGACCTTCACCCTGCACGGCATGACCTTCACCCTGCACGGCATGACCTTCACCATGCACGGCATGACCTTCACCCTGCACGGCATGACCTTCACCTTGCACGGCATGACCTTCACCATGCACGGCATGACCTTCACCCTGCGCGGCATGACCTTCACCCTGCACGGCATGACCTTCACCATGCAATTGTATTTATATTATCAAACATTTGAACTGATGTTTCAGATGGTTGTTGAATATTGTTAAAAAAAGTATGTGCTAAATTTTTTAGCATTTTCTTCGCTTTGAAATTCTTGACAAATTTGAAAGGAAGCTAAAATCGTGTGCTACGAAATCGATCTGGTACATAAACGGGCTCATTTTGTTTCATGTTTGTTATAAAAAGAAAATGAGTTGTGACAAATTATTTAAAGAAATTTAAAAATCAGAATTTATTTCCATTTCTCAGTTGAAAGAGAATAATTGTATTATTAGTTTTTCCTAATATAAAATTAAACGAGGTTCTGTTCTTCACCAATAAGTACACGAATAAATATTTGTAATTGTCAAGTATGTGTTTATATCAATATTAAAGAGTTAACACCATAGAAGACGACTAAAGAATTAACATCCCAACTGACAACTATAAAGTTAACTTCGCAGTCACCGGATATCCCGTGTAGCCGCTGTAAACACGGCGCGTGTTTACCCGCCACACACCCGCCGGTGTGTCACCAGCTCTTACCCGCCACACACCCGCCGGTGTTGCCAGCACTTACCCGCCACACACCCGCCGGTGTGTCTGTGTGTGATTTTTACTTAACGCGTCGTGATAAAAATGCAATTAAAATTTCAATTTATATCATCATTCGATATATCTAAATTAAAACGCGTACTATTTCTTTACGCAGAAAAAAGTGACAAGTTCTCCCGAACGGTCAATTATTTACCCTGACTAACCACTTCCTAGGGAAATTTCCTCAGGCAAATTTCCCAACTCGTAACCAGTAATTTTTACAAACAGTTTTGAGCACAGTCCGCTAATCCGCTAACCGATAATTAGCGAAGCTGACGTTTTCCTTAGCCAATGTGCCACACTCATGGCTGACTATTTCAACATATGGACGTCAACCATCACGTCTTGTGTAACAATAGACGTGATAGGTCACACAAGACATGATGGTTGACGCACATACGTATGTTGACGTACGTAGTCGGCCATCAGTATGGCACTCGAGCTAAGGAAAAAATTAGCTTCGAAAATTAGCGGTTAGCGGATTAGCAGACTGTGACCACCACTGTCTACTAGTATGTATTAATTGAAGCTCAAAAGATATTTTGCGTGACGTCATATTTTACGCAGAAGTGAACTTTATGTTTTCACACAGAAGAATTAAAAAAATTTAGCTTATTTTACACGTTAAAAAGTTATCTTGTAAATAANGTGAAGGGTATAATAACTGTAGTGGAGGGTAGAATAACTGTAGTGAAGGGTAGAATAACTGTAGTGAAGGGTAGAATAGCTGTAGTGAAGGGTAGAATAACTGTTGTGAAGGGTAGAATAATTGTAGTGGAGGGTAGAATAACTGTAGTGAAGGGTAGAATAACTGTTGTGAAAGGTAGAATAGCTGTAGTGAAGGGTAGAATAACTGTAGTGAAGGGTAGGATAACTGTAGTGAAGGGTAGAATAACTGTAATGAAGGGTAGAATAATTGTAATGAAAGGTAGAATAACTGTAATGAAAGGTAGAATAACTGTATTGAAGGGTAGAATAACTGTAATGACGGGTTTAAAACTGTAGTGAAGGGTAGAATAACTGTAGGGAAGGGTAGAATAACTGTAATGAAGGGTAGAAAAACTGTAGTGAAGGGTAGAATAACTGCAATGAAGTGTAGAATAACTGTATTGAAAGGTAGAATAACTGTAATGACGGGTTTAAAACTGTCGTGAAGGGTAGAATAATTGTAATGAAAGGTAGAATAACTGTATTGAAGGGTAGAATAACTGGAGTGAAGGGTAGAATAACTGTAGTGAAGGATAGAAATAACTGTAATGAGGTGTAGAATAAGTGTATTGAAGGGTAGAATAACTGTAATGACGGGTTTAAATCTGTAGTGAAGGGTAGAATAACTGTAGGGAAGGGTAGAATAACTGTAATGAAGGGTAGAATAACTGTAGTGAAGGGTAGAATAACTGTAGTGAAGGGTAGAATAACTGTAATGAAGGGTAGAATAACTGTGAAGCATCCGCTCACAGTCATAAGCTTAATAACATTTTTAAATTCACAGGAAACTTTTGGTGAACTGAAAATCCCAAAGCCTGACATCACGACACAACCTTTAAAAGAAGAATACAACTCAGCACGACAATCTTGTGTTATCAGACATCGTCCGGTGCTCGTTGTCTTGACCTTGTGTAGCTTGTATACTACCGGTCCTATACAGAGCCACTATACTGCAGGTCCTTTACAGACTTAGTATACTGCCGGTCCTATACAGAGCCAGTATACTGCCGGTCCAATACAGATTCAGTCTACAAAAGGTACTACAAAAACCCGGGTGATCTACAGCCTGTATATGGTGAGTATAATTACTATCATGTAGATATAAAAATTGAATTAATTCATCCCGGTTAGTTGATCTGGTAAGAGATCTTTGTCATAACAGCATCTGAACCAACATCAGAGCTGAATTTATCTTTCAAAAAATTATATTTGAAGTCAAAAAGCCTTCAACTTTTCAGCGAGTTGAATTCATCTCCTACGGAGTTTGATTTTATGACGAAATGTCACAATCCTTATGGTAACGAAAAAGATTTCAATATCGTACAATGAGTTTATCAAGGAGTTATAGGAGTCACTGGTGAGGATCATAAGTGGATCCTTTTTTAAAGCGTATCAAACCTGGCGTGATGGGTTCAATCAGTGTGTTTCAGTTATGTAGGTATTAATCTTAAATTTTAAGTAAATTTTAAGAATTTACGAAAATTTTTCAAAATCTCCACAGAGTGTGAGTTCACTTTCAACCTCCAACTAATAAAACCGGTGCTTGAGGGCGAAAATTCACACCAGCATTTCTTAGTGCGCAATATAGTTATTGCAATATACGAGTACTACACAACTTTTAAAACGGACCGCTATTCAACACATCTCGTATATACATACAACGCCTTATATTACTTGTATCGATTACTTGTATCGATTATCATAATAAATCACGGCATACAGTGATTGATTATTGCTTGGCTTGGAATTTTCGTAATAAAAATTTGCTGATTCTGTTAGCTTATTTAATTCCAAGCGGCTAACAATTTCACATCAAATAATAGTCGTAACGGTGCATTTTATAACTCTTTGATAACAGATGGTCGTATACAGATGAAGTTGAAAAAAAAAACAGATCTAAAAGGGAAAACAAATAGAAACCGTAAGCCAAACCAGTAAAATGACTGATATATGAACGTAAACCTGCCAACATTCTTGAAAATGTTGTGGTTAAAGTTCAGAGTACCAAGTTTAACCCAGTGGTTAAAGTTCAGAGTACCAGGATTGCAGCAGAGAGGCGCGGGTTCGATCCCAGCTCTGTGCGTCAGTTTCTGGTCAGAATCGGCGAGGAGGCCGGGTTATTACGCAAATCAAAAATTGAAGCAGTGAGTTGCCAAGTTAGAGCCCGCAACTAGCTGTGGATGTTCTGCGATGTTAAGAATCGGCGACAGGCCTACGGCCTAATAAACGCTGAAACCGCTATTATTATTATTTATTATTATTTGAATGGAAAGCTCTGCATGGGTAAAAAATTTTATTTTTATTTATTCGGCGCCCACTGTCGATATCTGGATCGAATTCAGGATCAATACTTACACAATTTTGTAAAGCATTAATTTATTCATACATTTCAATGTATCTCTACGTATGTATTACCATTGTTAATTGATTCCTACATTTTTCAGATGCTGCTGTCTCTCGTGACTATCTGCCTTGCGCTCACTGCAGCGGCCGCGCAAACTCCCGCCCCTACAGGCTGCGTGCGCTGGTGCCGCCACATCCACAACCCCACCGAGTTCTTTTGCTGTGCCGCGGACCCCAATACACGTGAGCTTTGTTTTTAGGCAAACATCTAAACTTTAATGTGGTAATGAAATAATTCAAGCAGAAAGATTTTATTATTTCATTTATAAACGTGACAAAACATGTAACGTCTGCGAGGGGAAATCATTGAAGCATACAAGTATACTCATGGCTTATACAAGGTCCCAGAAGGATTACTAGAATTTGAAACAAGAACCAACACCAGGGGCCACGGCTATAAGCTCGTAGGCCTGTCGCTGATTCTTAACATCGCGGAACATTTACAGCATTTTGCGGTCTCGAACTCGCACCTCGCTGCTACAACTCTGCTGTACTTCGCCGCCCGGCCTCCTCGCCGATTCTGACAAGAAACTGGCGCACAGAGCTGGGATCGAACCCGCGCCTCTCTGCGCCAATCCTGGTACTCTGACCAACACTGGCCACTCTTTGTGGGCCACCACTGGGCTTTGTTTTAGGAAATCATTTAAACTTTAATATCGTTATTACATAATTCAAAATAAAGAGATTCTGTTATTTCATTAGAAAACGTAGCAAAAGGTTCAGTAAATTTGGCCGTACCTATATCAGAAATCCTAAATTCTGCGAAAATTGCCTAGATTTTAGAATCAGTACCGAGTAAAGAACAAGAGACTTCGACGATGTTTGCAGTCATAATATTATCATCGTCTAAGTTGTTATTTGCGCCGTGTAAAATAATCCTGGAATGCTTGAAAAAGTATTTTATTTATATTGATATATATTATTGATTGAACTTGAGTTTATATTAATTAATTAGTATAGTATAGTATAGTATAGTATCTTCGGCATTAAATAAATAGGCCTGGATAGGCCTGTCGCCGATTCTTGTACGTTTCTTGACTAGACTGGCCATACGGACGGAAGATATCAGTTGTTCCGTAGGGTACGAGGCATTTTAAGACTGAACATATGCTCATGCATGGCCTTTCCAAGCAGTTTATTGGATGTATTAACTTGCATTTCAATATGCCTATAAAATTTTAGCTCCCTGTCGACACAAACTCCAAGATCTTTTTCCACGCAAGACTTCTCAATCATAACCCTCTCGTGACTAATATTAATTCTGAACTTAAGTTTATGGAAACTAAATTTCACTCTATTAAAACTAAATTATTCATTTCCAGCCCACCATCATGGCCGATGTCCTCAACGTTTCGTGACGACTGCCATGAGCAACTTTTGTTCAGTTGACGGCCAGTGCCAGCCGTACGAGAAGTGCTGCTTCTCGTCCAGCACGCAGCGTCGCGCATGCGTCGCGGCAGTGACCAACCGCCACCAGCCCCGTGTTTCGGTCAGGCTTGGGAACACATTTTCCAACAACTTCGACGATCTAAACTTCCCTAACACGTACCGAAATGGAACACAAGGATGGGGAAACATGGGAGAGATGGAACCCGTGGATTGAAAGAATACACGAATGTTCTAAAATATCAAATTAGTTGTAAAATTCATCGATATCGATTGGCATTCAATTAATTGTTATTCCCTTAGAGAACACATTCGTTGGTAACGACAAAGAATTTTCAAACAAATTAATAATTCAGAAGCACATTAACTGGACTAACTAATAAATTACCTGAAGCTCTGTGACCCTCAAGCTAATAACAATAAGTTCGTTCATGGATAAAAAGTAAAGTGACGCAACCTTAATAAACAGAGTTTGTTAACAAAACATGGTTTTACATAACTCAGAAATTAAAAAAAAAGTCTATTGACCTAAAAACTTTAATAATAATATAATAATAGCGGTTCAAGCCTTTTATTAGGCCGTAGGCCTGTCGCCGATTCTTAAATCGCAGAATATTCACAGTTTGTTGCGGTTTTGAACTCGCAACTCACTGATCCAATTCTGCGGTACTTAACCGCCCGATTCTGACCAGAAACTGGCGAACAGAGCTGGGATCGAACCCGCGCCTCTCTCCTCCAACCCTGGTACTCTGAACTTTTAACCACTGGGCCACCCTGCCCAAACTTTCTAGGTCCTCGCAGATAAAGTTGTTTCTAAATGTTTTCTTTGACTACCAGTATACCACAAATTTTACTGCTCCTCCCTTTAAAATCAGATGACAAACAAAACTATATAAATTTCATGAACACGTCTCAAATAGAATGATTAAAAGGAATTGGCTTTATCTTTTTACCTCCGCTCGAAGTTCAAGACAATATTTGTCTTGATCCTCACCAATGGAAATGTATGAAACCAATCAATGAAGTTAAATTTTTGTTAATATTTGGTAAATTTGATTTAGACTGCTTATCAACGACCGTATACAACTGGATGAAGTTAACCAAAGTTAAATCACTTCAGCTAACTCACATTTTATAGATAAAACAGTTACAAGTTTTTTTATGGGAAACTCAACCACATAATCGCTACTGCAACAATGAAAGATTGTGCGTGCTCAACTCAACAACAATGTGGGTGACTCATTCCCGCGTCACGCTCACCTCACCAAGTAATGGCTGAAAAGCTGCTGTTTCTTGAAAGTTTCAAACTTTACTCAAAGATTCGCCTCATCAATGTAAACTTTATTTTAGTTCATTATTAATTCCACTTAAAATCTCTATGATTAAATTCCCTCATTGTAGATAGATTTGTCTTACGGTGTCAGCATTGCGACAATGCGCTCCTACCGCGCGCTACGACTTCCTTGAAACCATGTATCGATACAGTAGCTCCTTAGTCGGCGCATGGATTTTTTGCCCAGTATCTCCAAAAAATATAAATTATTGTTATGTGGCGTCATAATTTCGAAGTTTGAAGACATCGAAAGAATATGAAATGACTGCTTGTTTGTATGATATGAATTGAATGCGTAAGGATTGTGTTACACTAGAAAAGGAACATTTGCTACTTCTTTGGTAAATCATTGATCAAACGCCTACATGATTCCAATGAATACAATTGAACGGTCCATTAATAGATAACTGTCACAAAAGCGTAACTACTTGAATAATTAGGAAGAAAAGTAAAAGATTCAGACTTCAACTTCAGCAATATGCTCTGGATGAGGCATATTCATAAAGCACGATCACCGGCAGATTCGTTGATCATATTGATGAAGGGAATCAGTAAGTAATGTTGTGTTTTTCCTATAATATTTCTCACAGGATGTCAATATTCAGCCAGCGTTCAATGAAGTTCAATTTGTTCAATGACCGACCGTTATTGGGTGTTTTCCCAATTGATTGACTATTTGGTCGCCTAACGTCTCTTATTGCTCATTATTGACGCAGAAGCGATTGCTATTGTTCAATTAACAACAGGGATTAAAGATATCTATTTATTTCATCCTCCTACAAAAATGGCTTTTGTAATCTGATAACTTTGAGAAGTTGTTTGTCCCGAAGAACGTATCAGCGTTGCCAGATGGTATATTTCTATACCAGATTTCACAAATCTGGTATTTTCAGAGGGTGTCTGGTATGAATATTTTAGATCTGGTATATTTGCCTAAATCTGGTATTTTTCTGGTATTTTCTGACTTTCTGGCAAATTTACCGCATTAGGTTCCACCTCTGAAGTTTGAACTTCCTCCAGCGTAGGCGTGGATTATATAGATTACCTTCAGAGCTGCGCGACTAGAGCTTTCCCACCATATTTGGAACCGCAAGTTTACCGCTTGATGAAATAACCCCAATCTAATTTTTAACATTTAACAAAAGTGCTTAGTGCAATTAAGCACGAGAATGATGATCCTTGATTGATTACAGATCAGTGATGATATGGCCTAGGACGAGTGAGGTTGTCGAACCGACAACCTCACTCTGCAACGCAAGCTCCACCATTTTTGTTTGGTGGTTTTGAATTCTAGAGTGCCACTTATCGGAGTGTCACTAGGATTCTGGGGTGCCATTCAATATTTCACTGATCTTGAAAATCATCATCCATTCATGGAACTGGCTGCCTACTGCATCACTTGTCTACTTTGACCTGTCTCCAATGCATTCGTGGAGAGAGTGTTTTCACTAGTCACCTATGTGAAAAACAAGCTACGAAATAAAATTTCAACTAAGGTACTGGAGTACCTTATTCGGACCAAAAGCTATCTGCTAAGCCGCAACAAGTGATAAAACCCGAAATGTTAGATTAATGCAATATGCAAGCATGCACGAAAATAAGCAAAATGAAGATGACCTGTTTCCGTGGCTTGCTCATGTTGAGCGAAGGGGAAGAAGTGCCTCACTGCGATAAAAAAAAGGAAAAAGTGTCAATGTAATCAAACACGGGAAAAGTGTCAAAATGTTCCAAACAGAATGAAAAAATATAACGTGTTCAATTTGGCTAATTATCGTCAAGCCAGATGAATGCACAGTACAGAAGATAATTTTTTTCTATTTCTTACCAAAGTTTCTGTTGAATAGTTTTATTAAATTTGAAGCTATTAGTCTGTTTTTGAACAATAGAATTTCTGGTATATTTCTGGTATTTTGAGCTAGGCAATCTGGTATTCTCGGCAAGAAAAAACCTGGCAACGCTGGAACGTATAACTTGTCTGAAACCTGTCAAAACAATGGCACGGTCATCTGTTATTTATTCATGCCATAGATGTTGCATCACGTTCCGAGTGTTTTTTCTTGCTCAGTTTTATTTTCCGCCATTTAGCTTAGTTAGCTACCAGCCGCTGCCGTGTGTGGGAGCCCTGATACACATCGACAGTTCATGTTCGAAAGCTTGAAACTTCTAAATTAATATGAGGGAATATTACAATTAACTTTCTAGAATTTTCATTAGTTTATCTTCGTATATGCAACATTTCCTTCTCTTGTTCTAAATGCACTAATGCAGACTCTGCAGTCTGCAATAGTGCGATACTGCGATTGTCCTCTGCCTGTCTGCCAACCAGGCCCAACCTGATCCTGAACCTGGTAAATTGGTATCAAACCGTTATTCAAACAGACTGAAACAGTTAAACTGAAGTCTGAAGGACAGAAGGAGGACATTTTTGACTTTCCGTACGTCCGTTACTCCGTTGTAAGCCTGTGACAGCGGCCATGGTAGAATTCCAGGATGTAGACAGCAGTGATGCTGACAAGTCACTTATTTTAGTCACAAAGTCAAAAGTGTCATTTACACATGACAACTAAATAAGTCTCAATAAATGAATAATTAACGACAGCTGAAGCTGTTTGACAGCTGTCAACTGTTGACTGTTGTTATGCCTACTTTTACCTAGGGCCTAGGGGGCCTACCTAGTCGTAGTGGCAAAGCAGAGAGTTTTTTAGACTCTCCCTCAACTCTCAAGTTCATTTTTGAGTCCTATAACTATAAGTAGACCAATAAAGTATCCTGGATACCAGCATTATCATACATAAGAAATTGGTTTAAATCTTGAGTAAATGAGGAAATTAAAAATGAACTGATTCTAACAAAGCTCTGGTTTGCCACTATGCCTACAGCCTAGTAGTAGACTAGTAGTGGCTAGTGGGCCGTTGCCTGTTGGCTGTTACCACGTTGCGCCTAGCATTATTATATTGTACAGTTGGGTTTTTTCTTACAGTATAAATTATACTTAGCAATTTAGCATAGGCCATGGGTTGGCAACTTGGCATTGGAGGTTGGATTAGGTCTGGCTGTGGCTGTCTGGGGCTCCAGGCTCAGGGCTCTGCCGCTCTGCAGGGCTGGAAAAGTCCTATTTTTGTCTGAAATATTGTGGCTCTAATATCATATAATTTCAATAGGTATGAAATCTCACGTCTCGAATGTCATAAATTTTTGATTGCTTGAAAAATAGCAGTTTGCACTTTACAAACATGTCATTTCATAAAATTTTCAACTTCTGCAATCTGCATTGCTTTACCGTTCCCACCTAAATATCCGGCAGAAAAAACGTAAACATCGTAATGTAAACAAAACAACTATACGTTTTGTTGAAGATCGCGGATAGTTGCAGTCATGTCAAAGCGGTCAGACTGCATTAACAGTTTAACACGTATTCAACTTAGAGTAAAAACAAATTTTATTGTTGCCGTTTGACTGTTTTAGGGTAAAATGAGAGATTTGGGGTAAGAGGTGCATGGACTTTGTAAATAAATTCGCACCTTGTAAGTGGCTTTTCATGGCCAAGATATCAAATTCACAGCTCGGTGAAATATAATCACGGCTCGAAGAAATGGAATCACGGCTGGCAAATCCATAAAACCACGGCTCAAAAAATTCAGTCGCAGCTTGCTAAGTAGTTATATTCCATGCCTGCCACTCTGGGGCCTGGGCCCTGCTTGTGTTTCAGTTTCATGACTTGAGTGATGAGTCACCAGTCTCTTGAGTCTTGACTCTTTTCCATAATCTATTGCCCCTAACCTCTCTATATTTCTTTATATATGGTATATATAAAGTTTGAATTTGATTTCTGTATCAAAATTCAGTAAGTATTCATATTGTAGCTAATTATCTTAGAAATACTTAGCAACATACCTGAACTCTGAACAGTGAAGTGTGAAGTTGTGAACTGTGAACACACTGTCTAGTGTCTCCTTTAAAAAATCATGGAGATTAAATGTATTTTCATATTTAAATAGTCTGAAATCATTTTCAACAGTTTTTGATTGTTGTTTGTTGATACAGAATATTGCAATTATTATAAAAAAAATAACATAAAAACATTAGCTTTTTAGAAAAAAAAATATTTTTTGGAAATTGATTTTTTACAAAAAAATATATGTTCCCATTTAATGATTTTGATCAATTTCATTTGGTGCATATCACCTTCTGGCTGTCTGACTCACAAGTCTTACATAGGCCTACTATGTATTTTTTTTACTAACTGGCAAGTGGCATCTGAGGTTATGTCAGGAATCAAGATGGCCAAATTCCTTTTCTTCCAAAAATTACTTGAAATATTTATGAAACCTGGTAAGAGTTAATAAGAAATTTTAGAAAATAAGAATGGTTTATTGTTAATATTTCTTAAATAATGGAGCTTGGTTATCCTGGCAGACTGGCATAATTCAGATTCTTCAAAAGATAGTTTTCAGCATAACTTTCATGACAAAGGACAGCCTGGCTAAAATTTTCAATTGGGTTATCATGAGGTTGGGTGCAAGGTTTACTTGCAGAGTTAGTTGTTACAAGCTTCACTTTAGCAACTACAAATACTTATAACAGGCCAACAGCCCTGAACAGCACCTATGCATATTTATATTAACCATCAAAATTTTCCACTTTGTACTCTGTTATAAACTTTTAGAAAAGTTATGCAGTAGGCACTGGTGTCTGGCAGCACTGCTGCCACTGCATAGTGCATGGTGCACAATGCATAGTGCATGGTGCACAATGCATAGTGCATGGTGCAATTTAGAAAAAAAAATTCAAACTGGACCTTCCCTAGCTCTCTCAAATGACACTTTTTAATTAAGCAAGTGACCCAAGCAGATTGATATTGGTAATACCCTATACCGTATGTCCCTTGTCAACTACCATTCTAATAATGAAGAGATGCCGCACTCTTGAGAGCATTCTTTGCAATACTGGAGGTATCATATTCTTCAGGATTGTGTCAGTTGTGTGCTCTGCTAGAGCCACTTGAGCTTGGCTACTCAACACTCAGAGAGTGCCATACTAGCCAAAGAAGGGGCTGCCACACCGAGTTCTGAAGGCTTGCCTCCATTCTACCCTTTGTTCTACTTTAAATACTGAAGAAATTAAAATTTTTTTTGTCTTAAAAACTATTGAAATACTTGCATTTGACCTATCTTTGTCATCAAGACCACACAAGTTGTCACATTACCTATGATCAGTATTTTGCTTCCTTATGATTGAAAATTTTACCATGTAAAAATTTAAATTAAACTTTCAATAACATTAATAGATCATTAGTAATTTTTTTTTTCATTGCTTAAAAATAACAAAGTGTAATACCTAGTACTTTTAATCAGACATATCTTTTTATCAAAGTGGAATGATTTAAGGTATGATGTGTGTGTCTTTGACTACAGTGTAGTTTAGTGGCATTTCGTCAAATATGAGTTCAAAAACAGTGAATTGATGTTTTGACATTTGATTTTGGATATTTTGTCATTTCTTGAGTGCTAATTAACTGTTGACTTTTTTATCATTTAATGATTATAATGCATTTTTCCATTTAAATTCATCTCCTGCACTAATAAGTTTAATTAATTATTGTTTTCTTCTAGCATCCTGGACTTAATTTATGCCACTGTAATTCAACTAATGCAAGCACTGTATTGGCATTTATAACATTCCTCTTCAAAATAACTTGTTAGATCATCTTTTTGTGTGCAGGGAAAGCCCCTCTGCAAGCAAGAAAAAGATGTACATGCTGGGAGTCTTGGTAGTTATTGTATGTGTGGTAGCTGTTTCTGTTGGACTGACGTATGGTGAGTAGTAGTATGAATGTTATATTTGTTTATTTATTTTGAGTTTATATGTGTTTATTTCATTTGTTTTTATTTAGATGTAAATTTATTATATTGGTGATCCAAGAAATTTGTCAAGTCTGTTTAGTGCTAAAAAATATTCAACTTTTTTTAATTGCAATTAATAGTTTGTCATTTTAGAAAATTTATTTTACATGTTCATTCATAATCAGTTTCTTAAGCCTTGTAATTTTTCAAAGAAAAAATTTCTGTAGGCATATTTTGCAAGTTTTGGTATGTAGGTATCTTATATGTATTTAAGGTATATTTGATCAACTGGCTTCTCTTATATTATATCATATATTGTCCTCATTAGGACAATATGGTATATGTGTCCTTATGAGGATGCTGTGATGTTAAAAACCTATTTGGCTTTTGGTATATTTTGTGTAGGTATATTTATTCACATTTATATATGATACCTATTCATTTCCAGATTTCTTTTGAGCCCCTAAAAATTCCTTAAAATTTCTCGAGTAAAATGTAATCTGACCAAATGGTTTTTGCTGATTGAAGTTCTCACCAAAACAGGTTCAAATGCAGATGATGCAAGTGCTCCCATCTTTTACCAGAGTAATAAAGGATCCCCCATAGAAGTAAGTTGAAATTTTAATTTGAAATTTTTAAATCATCTTTAATTTAGTGTTTAAATGGTCAGAAGTAAGTACCGTTTTAGCACATTTTCTCATTCATGGAAAAAAGCCGCTATTGTGCTCGTCATGTCCGTCTATCCATCCATGACTTCACGGACGGACGGACAAGAAAATGCACTCTCTATCACTCAGTGCAGTGAGTACTGATCTATTTTTTTCTTTTTCCAAATTTGTGCAGTGTTGAGGCACAAGAATCATTTGAACATTTAAAATAAAATGTACATCATTTTGCCATGAGCACAAATAAAGTGTGAGAATAATTGTTTTTAATACCTACCATAAAACTGAGTAAAATATTTTTCAGAAGTCTCTGCAGTACAAAGCTACAGCATTCGACCAGTTTGAAGCTGGGAGTAACTTTGGTCCCGGGGGCCGTGGCTGGGGCACCATAGGGGCCTCTGACAGCGTGCTTGGCGAGTACAGCAAAGCAGCTGTCAGCGCTGATGGAGTGCCATGTGCTGAAGTGGCAAGGTGTGTTTTTTGCCATTTAAAAAATGAAATGAGGCATTCAGTTGCCCAGTCAATTAAATTCATTTAAATTTAAAAACCTTAAAAGAAAAAATCACCATTTTCTGCCTTGCATGTTTTTTCCCAAGAATCCTACTTTTTAGCGCATTTTCTCATTTATGGAAAAAAGGCACTATTGTGCTCGCCATTTCCGTCCATCTGTCTGTCCTTCCGCCCATCCGTGACCACGTTTTCGTCAACGAGAAAATGATCTCTGTCACTCACTGCAGTGAGTACTGAGTTATATTTTTTACTTCTATTTATTTTTACTTATCTCTGTATCGAATTTGATGGATTTGTAACTTTGTCAAAAATGTTTCAGGGACATTCTCCTCAAGAACAGCACTGCTGCAGATGCAGCTATCGCAGGTATGTTTTGCTTAGGAGTGATCAACACGCAGTCTATGGGCTTGGGTGGCGGCTTCCTAGCCACATATTATGACCGAGCTTCACGCACGGCATACACTCTGGATGCCAGGGAGGTTGCACCCTACAGAGCTTCCCAAGACATGTTTCACGGCAGCAGTAAACTTAGCCAAAAAGGTGAGATTTTTCACAAAATTTTTCCGTGCATTTCTTTCATTTAAGAAAAAATAATGTTTATGCTTGAGGTGAATGGGATACCGAGAGATTTTTGTTTTATACCTTGAGTTGATTTTTTTGAAACCTTATACTAATTATTATTCTTACTGGAAACAATTCTGTATTCAAGCAGCAAACGATGATTGAATTTTTGTAATCAACCATCTTTTATATTAATTTGCCTATAAAAGTCTCCAATTTTAAATTACATTCTTGGCAGCAAAAAAGTTTCACTCTCTCTTCCATGATTCATCACTTTAAATATATATGCTGTTTAGGTATATATGTGATCAGAGGTGGGCAGTAGCGTGCTACATGTCGCGGCCCCTACTAGCGACCGCTACATTTTCAGTAGCGGTAGCGGCGCTACATTTTAAGCAATGTAGCGGTAGCGCCTGCTACATTTAGAGCATGTAGCGGTAGCGGTAGCGGCCGCTACATTTCAAAGTAGCGCTGCCCAGCTCTGTATGTGATATACAGCACTCATATGTGGCAGGTGGCTTGGCCGTAGCAGTGCCGGGAGAGGTGCGCGGCTACAAGGCTTTGTATGACCGCTTCGGGGGCGGCCTCCCCTGGGCCGACCTTGTGGCCCCCGCCATCCGCATCTGTGAGGAGGGCTACCGCGTCAACTGGCACCTCGCGAGGGCCCTTCATAAGAACCAGGACGCTATCAAGAAGGAGCCTAGCATGAGGTGAGGCTTATGTGAGGAGAGGCTGATGTGTGGAGAGGCTGATGTGTGGAGAGGCTGCCATGAGGTGAGGCTGATGTGTGGAGAGGCTGCCATGAGGTGAGGCTGATGTGAGGGAGACTGCCATGAACTAAGGCTTCCTGAATGAGGCTGGTATGTATTAATTTAATTCTTCATGCTATCAAATTGTAATTTGGGTCAGCATTATTAATAATTGTTCTTCCGATGGGCATATGACATGAATATCCACCAAAATGTTATCATTTTAGAAATTTTCAGTTATTTCCATTTTCTTGTGTTGGATTTGCTCTGTTACTCTGATGATTCTTCCGAGCACATCTCATTTTTTGTATCAAATTGAACATTTTTACGTTTGTGCTACCTACACGTTTATTTTACCAATGAATTATGTATAATATCTTCGTCCACATGCTTAATTAAATCAATCAATTATTTAATTATGCTGCAGATAACCAGAAATCACAATACGTTCTTTATATCACATTATACACAAGTTTTTCTATGTCAGTGCCACACAAAAATTTTGTATCAGTTATAGGTATATATTTAATGTTTTCGTTCACATGCTTCATTACATACGTAAATCAATTACTTATGGTAGGTAATTAATTAATTATGCTGCAGTGTTTTCTTGGACCCCACAACTGGAAACGTCCTGAAGGAAGGCGACCTACTGAGACGACCTGACCTGGCGGCCACCCTGCGGGTCATACAAAGAGATCCTGACGCTCTGTACACTGGCGTCCTTAGGGACGATGTCCTTAAGGACCTGCATGACCACGGCTCCATTATTGACGAGAAGGATTTGCTCGACTACCAGTGAGTCGTCTGAGCTCAGAACTAGTATACCTACTCATCTTATTAGTTTTTATAACGTGAACGTTTTATTTTCCCTGATTTGCATAGTCGCGACTACATCATAATTGGTGCTTAATTCCTGTTCCGTCTTGCTGAGTACACAAAAAATCTTCTATTTATGTATAGTTTTCATATATGATTTCAGTTTTGCACAATATTTTGAACTGTTTTTATGTAAAGGGTTTTTTCACTAACCACCTGTTGTCTGTGCACTCTACCGAAAGTCTCTTTCCAAATATTTAACTCCCATCCGAAAAAACTCTCACTGCATTCTTCATCAATGTTGAGTTCATCACGTAACAATAACGGCGCTTGATATTTGCAACCTTTTTCTACCCGAGTTCTTTTTGAATGTTTGTGCTCTGTATTTTTGGGAATATTTTGTATTATGTGCGTACCTGCACCTACAGAGCGAAATGGCGCGACCCCGTGAACGCGGGTCTATCCAATGGCGGCTACACCCTCTACTCCATGCCGGTTCCAGGCTCCGGTCACATCTTAGCCTTCATCCTGAATATTTTGGACGATTTTAATCTCAACTCCGAAAGCATTAAAAGCCCTAAATCTTTAGTTACTCATCAGCGCATCGTTGAGGCCTTCAAGTACGCTTATGCCAAGAGGACAGAGCTCGGAGATTCGGATTTTACTAATATTAAAAAGGTTCGTTTCTGGGATGAACCTTACAAGCAAACCAGATTTTTTTAGAACCAGTTCATTTTTTATTTCCTCATCTACTGAATATTCTAATCAACTTCTTATGTATTATAATGCTGGAATCCAAGATACTTACCAGTCTTCTTATCAGAATCAGAACTGAGCTTGATGAAGGGCAAATAAAAATGTTCTTCTCTGCCACTATTTGATGAACTTATAATCTTGTAGCTCATATGAATCTACGTGCTGTGTTTTATTTTGAATTACATTGAAGGAAGTTTGTTTACTGGGGATTCAGTTGGTAAACATTTATTTTCCTTGCTCATCGAAGTCAACATACAATTCTACTTGCTATACACAATGAAAATTTTTGATGCTGCTGCTGCCGCCAATTAGAATTACATATGCAGGAACTACAATAAAATGCTAGTAAAAGAACTTCTTAATCAGCAGTCCACATCTAATGCCTGCTGATATAAAAGATTCATATATAATATAACATAATGGAATATTTACAGTTACTGGAGCAGCTGTCGTCTGAGTCGTACGCAGCACAAGTGCGTGCCGTGCTGACCACGAGCAGCACGTCGCACGACCCCCACGACTACGGCGCCGTGGCAGCGCCCCCTCCCGGCGACCACGGCACCTCACACTTCTCCCTCCTCGCCCCCAACGGCGACGCCGTGGCTGTCACCAGCACCATCAATGTCTAGTGAGGGCCCAGGATGTCTAGTGAGGGCCCAGGATGTCTAGTGGGGGCGCAGGATGTCTAGTGAGGGCCCAGGATGTCTAGTGAGGGCGCAGGATGTCTAGTGAGGGCGCAGGATGTCTAGTGAGGGCCCAGGATGTCTAGTGAGGGCGCAGGATGTCTAGTGAGGGCGCAGGATGTCTAGTGAGGGCGCAGGATACAGGTAACAATAGCACCTTGTCTGGTATTTCAAGTTAACTGGGACGTACAATAGAGTACCCTACTATTTTAGCTATTAACATCACCAATGACTCTAATGATTATTAATATATCAATGATAAAATGAGGTTTAAAATACAGCTAAGTGAGTTCCACTATATAACTTATGTTTTGAACCAAAATGTAATCACTCTATTTTGTTAATTAGTGAAGGATATGTAAACTTCAGTTGGAATTGAGCTGGAAACTGCATTGTTCGTTTCACATGGTAGTTTTATTGAGCCGAAGCATGGATTTTGTTGCTGGTCTTCAATAAAATTAAATTGGTTCAGTTTCAGATAATTTACTAAAGAATATGACAAAGTATAGTGCATTGAATATTTGTAGAATATTTCCAATTGTAGTGTTATGAATAATGTTGTGCTCACAATGAATTTACTAAATAATTTGAACAATTACAGTTTTGGTGCGGGATTCCGCGGTCAACGCACCGGCATCATATTCAACGACGAGATGGACGACTTCTCGTCGCCCAATATCACAAACTATTTCGGCATTCCCCCCTCCACGGCTAATTTCATAAGACCTGGTCTGTATATTTCCTTACACCTCTATTAGCCTTGCCTTACACCTCTATTATCCATACACCTCTATTATCATTACACCTCTATAATGAGTATTATCATTACACCTCTATGATGAGTATTATCCTTACACCTCTATTATCATTACACCTCTATTAACCTTAGCTTCCGAAATTAAATTTATATTGTTGTTGTCTTTCTGGTGCTAAAGAACATGATTCCATCTCAGTCTCACGTGCTCACCATTTGAATATTTGCTTCATTATACTAATTTTACCATTTTAAAACTGGATTAACTTTCATAATATCATAAAATAGTATATGATCGTTCATATAATGAATTTACTTTCATAATATTTAATTCTTGCTCGGTGCAGGCAAGCGGCCGCTGTCGTCCATGGCGCCCACTGTGATCGTGGACGCTAGGGGCGACGTGCGTCTGGTGCTGGGGGCGGCGGGCGGCTCGAAGATCCCATCAGGCATCGCCAACGTCGTCATGCACAACCTGTGGTTCGGCAGCAACATCAAGCAGGCCATTGATGCACGCAGGTTCCATCACCAGCTCTACCCCATGGCACTCATGTATGAGCATGGCTTCAATCAGGTGTGTGGCACTCATGTATGAGCATGGCACTCATGTATGAGCATGGCTTCAATCAGGTGCGTGGCACTCATGTATGAGCATGGCTTCAATCAGGTGCGTGGCACTCATGTATGAGCATGGCTTCAATCAGGTGTGTGGCACTCATGTATGAGCATGGCTTCAATCAGGTGTGTGGCACTCATGTATGAGCATGGCTTCAATCAGGTGTGTGGCACTCATGTATGAGCATGGCTTCAATCAGGTGTGTGGCACTCATGTATGAGCATGGCTTCAATCAGGTGTGTGGCACTCATGTATGAGCATGGCTTCAATCAGGTGTGTGGCACTCATGTATGAGCATGGCTTCAATCAGGTGTGTGGCACTCATGTATGAGCATGGCTTCAATCAGGTGTGTGGCACTCATGTATGAGCATGGCTTCAATCAGGTGTGTGGCACTCATGTATGAGCATGGCTTCAATCAGGTGTGTGGCACTCATGTATGAGCATGGCTTCAATCAGGTGTGTGGCACTCATGTATGAGCATGGCTTCAATCAGGTGTGTGGCACTCATGTATGAGCATGGCTTCAATCAGGTGTGTGGCACTCATGTATGAGCATGGCTTCAATCAGGTGTGTGGCACTCATGTATGAGCATGGCTTCAATCAGGTGTGTGGCACTCATGTATGAGCATGGCTTCAATCAGGTGTGTGGCACTCATGTATGAGCATGGCTTCAATCAGGTGTGTGGCACTCATGTATGAGCATGGCTTCAATCAGGTGTGTGGCACTCATGTATGAGCATGGCTTCAATCAGGTGTGTGGCACTCATGTATGAGCATGGCTTCAATCAGGTGTGTGGCACTCATGTATGAGCATGGCTTCAATCAGGTGTGTGGCACTCATGTATGAGCATGGCTTCAATCAGGTGTGTGGCACTCATGTATGAGCATGGCTTCAATCAGGTGTGTGGCANTGTTGTTGTCTACAGACGCTGATGCAGCAGCTGTCAGCTGACGCTGTTAACGCTGCTGTTGTCTACAGACGCTGATGCAGCAGCTGTCAGCTCTGGGTCACGAGCTGCAGGAGTTCAGCGTGGGAGGGTCGGTGGTGTGCGCTGTGTCGGTGGAGGGGCGCGCGTTATACGCTAACTCAGACTTCAGGAAGGCGGGGCAGGTCGCGGGATATTGACGGCGGCGCCGGGACCCTTCCTCTCACCTGCACCCAGTGGCTGCTCATAGCCATGACGAGCAGCGAGAGCCATACGACTGTCGTAAAGATCCATACGACTGTCGTAATGATCCTTACGAATGTCGTAGAAATTCCTACTATGGTTGTGAAGATCAATACGACTGTCGGAAAGATCCGTACGGTTGTAGTAATGATCCTCACGCATGCTGTAAATATCCCTCCGACGGTCATGATGAAGATCGCTACGGTTGTCGTAAAGTTCATTACAACGGTCGGAAAGATCCTTACGAGTGTCGTAGAAATTCCTACTACGGTCGTGAAGATCCCTACCACGGTTCTTTGTGCGATGACAATGTTTGAAAAGGAAGTTTGTTTTTCCGTAAAGATCCTTAGAGGATTAAATTATTCTTGACGGATACTCAATCCTTCGATTAAGGTTAAGGAAGCTTCAAGGATTAAGGTTCCTCAATCCTTCAATTAAGAATTAAAGTAATATCGTTATTCTTGTGTCGAGGCGACTGTTTGGAATGATCTCAACTTCAAATGGTTTTAAACATCAAACCAAACTCGCATAATATTGGCCAATGGTTCGTAACTTTCCACTTTCATTAACGTTCTCATGACTGTCCTTGCCTCATTTCAACTCTGGAACAACATTCCAACTTTCCCTCTCGGCTACCGGTATTCATCTTAACAATTCATATTACGACTACTCTTCATGTTACGTGAAATGTTCCTATCCAAATGTCCTGATAGTAAAATTATAACAGTTGATAAAGCACCTAAAATCGGATGATAGAAAATTATACTAAATATTTATAAAGAGCAACTTGGTACGAAGAAGAATTTATGTTCTTATGTTAGTGAAAAAGTTCCAAGAACCTGGAAAATCTCTCAATGGCAGCTCCGTTCTTTACGAAAGAATTAACTCTTTTTACACTGCACTTAGTACGAGTTTTTGATTTATTTGTTTTAGTTTATTAAGTTACTTATCAATTAAGATGACTTCGATTTACTTTAATTAAAAATTGACCAGAAATTTATTGAAAAAATTTTTCATGGGAAGGATATTTACTTTTCAAATTCTGAAAAAAATGTGAAAGTGTTTGAAATTAGACGGGTAACTACCACTTGTTCTGTTGTTGGAATCCTTTGTAGCATTCCACTTAGTAATAGTTTTTGACTCGCTGAATGATAATTTATAAGTACAATCCAGTTAAACATTGCGATGACGTCACAATTGAGCTACTACTTTTTTCGATGAATGTGCAATTTATTGTTATATTGTGGACTTGTTATGAATGCATTTAAATAATCCTTAATTGTACTTGTTACGATAATGTTTTGTTTGTTGTGTTATGTTTTCTGTTTTAATATTTTAATTAAATTGTATTCGCCTCAGGAACAGCCCATCCTAATTGACTTTCAATTGAATTGTTCTATAACTTGCTGCTAAATGTTATTAGTTAACATGATCTGCGCATGATTAACTCAATTAAATTAGAGGTCGTGTAATAGACTTTGACTCAGTGTTTTATTGAAGATAAAATTCCTTGAATTAATCTTTAGTAACTCTTAATAAGACCTCGCTGTCTGATACTGTATTATTATCGTATATTTTAATGCGTAAGGAACTGGCGCTCATTTATGTCGTCTGTACTGTTACACCCGTCAATATTGAGTGTATGAATGATATTCTGTTGTTAATTATTTGATAATATCGGTGGAGATGACCGTGTGAATTAATTTTTTTTATTTTACAGTCCGTATTATTAGTGAATTAATCGTTAATAATACGGGCTGCATTGCTTCGTATCACATTTCATTGTTATTGGTTAGCGATGTGATAAAATTTGTAAGAAACTCAATTTCACTTTCGTTCAATTTATCTATTTCTCGTGACCTTGGCTGTGTAAAACAATAAGGTTCCACGTCATTAACTTGTTATAGGAATTCATGTTGAATAATGAAATTAAGGACAAAATAAAATTTTTATAATATAAGCTTGTTTGAAAATTGAAATTTAGTAGGGATTGGTAAAAAAAATGTATTGTTTACCGTAGGTATGAGGTAGATGTCGCGCCACGACTAGTACATCCAACAAAATTAAATATGTGTGTACAGAAGTATAGTTTTTCAGTGCCTCAGATGTGCAGGTTTAGTTGCGCTAGCTGCGTTTCATAATATTATATTTTATTCATTATATATTAATTATTTGTATTTTTGCAGATAAATGTCCCTCAAATTCCCCAAATGCAGCTTTTTAGAAGCATTTTATTCTCTGCCGTTGATTTCTGTTGATGTTCTTTTCCAAACTGTTGAACTTTATCTCCTTTAATCATTTACAGAAATTTTTGTATGTAAGGTAAATTTTATTTTTAAAATCATCTACTTATCCCTATATGCTGTTTGAATGTTTTTCTACTTATTTTATTTTTTTATTCACATTCTTTGGAGGCAATGCAACTTTGCGACTATAACTGACTCCGCACTGTTGAGTCTCTTGAAACTTTTTTAAGTACACTTAGCGTCCGATTTCTCGTCCGTGATTGGTGGGTCTCGCTTGAAAAGCCGTCAGTGATTGGCTGACGTTGATAGGAACTCTTAATTATTTCTTAAGTTACTATTTACGATAGTACGGCCCTAGTACATTAATATCACAATCGTCTTCCCATTGCGTCGTACATTCCTTTTACGCATTCTATTCTTCAAATCAACGTATAGCCAATTTTTGTAACACTGGCTTCTGATATTTTCATAAACATTCTTCTGTGGATTTGAATAACATCCGTAAACGTTCATATTCGCTATAAGTATTTTTTTTTAATCCCAATATCCCAATACTGGCACGCATCTGTGTGACGCATGCATTCTTCCGCGCTCGTACAGAAGAACGATATTCAATATCAAGATTACGCAATGTAAATGCCGCTTTAAACTCAATAGAAATTAAAACGCCAAAAAATATATAACTTTTTCTTTGAGAACCATTAGGAGACAAGCTCCATCATCAGTCGAAAGGTTCAGAATAAAACTATGTAAACATCCCATGTTCAAATTTCTCGAAATATCGGCTTCTATCGGCAGTAGTATCTTCTACACTTAAAATTATTTTTTAGTGTAATGTTTCTTACGCGCTTCTAAATAACGCCTTTTGCGTAAAATTGTTCTATAACCATCAGTTACAAATCATAGTGCAGATCTTTTCAAACCATTCCAACGTGGAGTAATTTAACACGTTGCAAAAAGCATGTTACTCCTTTGTGTTTAATATAGTTATACGATAACCTTTTTCTGTAAACTTGTCATTACCGTCGGAAAATACATCAGTTATCCTCAGAGGCTGATTTTTGCTCCAGTTTCGGAACCACTGCACGAAGAGATAATAGGATTAGGTTCTTATAAATATCTCGATAATTCATATACGTATGAATCATATATGTAGGTGTGTTCAACTTACCTATATGTTACCTTTTTGCTATGTCTACTAAGAATCAAGTTTGTAATGTATTGTTTTGTGTACTAAAACTCAAGATTGTTATCTATTGTTTATTTGTATGCGTTTGATATTGCGGACTGGTGATAGTAATGCGTTTTCATCATACGCCTGTCGAGCGAGTGCAAATTTCAAAAACAATAACTCTCGAAATTTTTCTACTTGTCACCCAATTCGAAATTTTACAGTAACCATATTACCACTTCCACCATAGTTTGCAGCATCAAGATAGCTAGCAAAATATAGATTCTGAAAATTCTTCCAGCACTTCCTGTTGATTATTTACGTCTTTTTTCATTCATCCCAACTTTACTCCCAAAAATCTAATGAATTTTCCTCGAGGCATAGGTAATTTTCCCCAATTTAGGGAAAGTTATTCTTATAAGCACTTCATCGTAAGGAAAACTATCCGCTGTCCAGCACTCAAGTGAATGAAATGTATGGCCCCGAAAACCAACTGTAAAACCATATGAAAATTGCGAGGTATTATTTTTAATCCATAACTCTCAAGCATTAAGGTGCGAATGGTTTGCGGCAATGCATGGCAATTACGATACCAATAATGATTATTCAATCATACTACCTATTATAAATTTGTCGTATTATATTGTCATAACTATATTAAAATTTGGATTATAATTCAATTTTTAAGTCCTTTAAAGTATTGGGTGGTTCGCTCAGTGCCTTTCTGACACGATTACAAGTTAAGATTGTGGATGAGGAACACAAAATACGGTGGATAAAACCATCAAAAGTTCCCGCGTACGTTGAGTGTGGCGAAAAAAAACGGGTTTTCTGAACTACTACCATGCGTGCGTACCTAAATATGTAGGTTGAATAGCATTAGAATAAATAAATTATTGTTTTACTCATCACCGAATGATGTTATAATGATAGTACTTATTATAATCACTGATGATAGTACTTATTAATAATCATATTATTTTTTTCACTCATAGCTCATGTCTAGCTGTGCATTGATGGTTCCTGAACCATGAGCTCTGCATTGATAGTTTCTACAGCAATGGTTTGTTTTTGTTCGGCGATTTTCGCGCAAGTAAGTTTTGACAAATAAATAAAACTGTACCGCACATTTCGTTCTTTTTAGCGCATTTTCTCATCTATGGAAAAAATGCTCTAATGTGCTCGTCATGTCCGTCCGTCTGTCCGTAACTTCACGTTTTCGTCGACGAGAAAATGCGCTCTCTGTCACTCACTGCAGTGAGTACTGAGTTACATTTTTTATTTATTGTGTCTTAATCACACAATTTCTTTGTTGTCATGTGCTGTCTAATTTTTTTAATTGGCACGATCTATTGTCATTGCACGTTATAACAATTGTTATGAGAATATCTTTATCTCTTAAGATTACTGCTCTTCCTTAATTTTAGTCTTGTTACAGGTTTGAATGCGTTTGTTTAAAGTACTTCTGCGCACATCATATACTTCAAGCGAATAAAATTATAAAAAATTCATCGTTTAGTTTTATTTTCTGAACAAAAATAATTAAATTCCTGTTGCTTAGTCCTACAACAGACAAACTTTAAAATTATGTATTTAATTAATAAATCTAATACACGCATTTATATTCAATGTGCGCGTATTAATTAATTAAATAATTAATACACGCACAATAATTGTGACAGTGTATAAAGTTAAATGCGATAGTCGACGTCAATGCGACGTCGGGAAACGTCATTTGTAATGCATTGCCAAAATAAAATTTTAATATCACTCGTTTGATTGCATCGCAAATACAATAGAGATTTAAAAGCAATGAAAATTCCATAAAAGTTCATCAAATTATGATGGAAGACGTTTTGTTTTCCAGCTCCACCGTCAGCTCGAAAATTCTGGAATGCAGATATGATTACTTGTTAGTCCAGTCGAAATAGTACTGTATATATACAGAATTTTCAACATATTCAAGACACAATATATTGAATTTGTCGTCATTTTTTGTGAAAAAATATAATTAGTTTTATAAAGGAAGTACTGTATATATACAGCATTTTCAACATATTCAAGACACAATATATTGAATTTGTCGTCATTTTTTGTGAAAAAATATAATTAGTTTTATAAATGAACCTAAATTGAGTCAGGGGGGATTAAGAATATTTTAAGGGGGCTTGTGCTCCCCAAAAATAGGCCTAATGACGCGTTTTTACTCAAAAGTTCTTTGTAGTTTGCTATTCCGGCTGTCCAATAACTGGAACAATTGTAGGGTCAAAATGTCTTAAAAATTCATCAAAAAAGAGGTTAATGGAATCAAGCGAAGCGTCTCGCTCATGGCCCCATGAGGGCGCTAAAATCTATAAAAAATGACGCAGGTTAATCCCATGGTGCTAGGCTTAAAAATTTATTTTCCAGAATCGACATTTCTTTACAGTGGAAAGATCAAGCCTCACCAGAACTGACCTCTCAATCCTGCACAATTGTTTATCCTCACACGCGCGCGTGGGCGAGTCACGTGAATTTCCAGCCTTTGAAATTCCAGAATACAAATAAAGCATTTAAAAAAATTTAGACCAGCCGTCTTTGATTATTTCAGGTTCCTGAAGGTTGGCTGTAACAAAGGCGGAACACTGTGAATACATTGGGTTTGACTTTGGCTCACTTCATTTTTTCGTAAGCGTGGTAGAATTTCGGCAGTATGTACAATGTATCTGGTAAGTTTTTTTATTTCAACAAAATTTCATATTTTGTACAGTATGTACAATTTATATGGTGATTCCATTTCTTCAAAAGTATGCCAGAAATATAGACAGTATTTTTACAAGGTTAGCCAGAGCATGCGATCCATTAGTGTTCCGGCCTTTGGTTTTGACCGTGGGTAGAAAAAATGCTTCCTCTTTTGTTCAATATCCCGAAGTTTTTAGGCTTCTTATCCGACTAGTACATGGAACAAATTAACAGCTCACTAAAGCAAAGACAAACATTTTCGAGAAAATGAACAAAGAAACATTTCGTCGTTTCTTTGTTCAAAGAGAAAGTGGATGCCACCTGACATGCCCGGAGATGTGACCGACAGCTTGCTTGGGTAAGTGGTAATCAGGCGGGCATCGGCTTAATTATTCATTAACAGATCGCACATCAAAATACGGTAATTAACAATAAGGAAAAAGCCAGATAAAAAT